TTTTAGGATGGAAGACAAATGTTCTGCTGTGAGTGTTGATATGTGCGTGGTTTTGGTTGTCTTCACAAGCGAAAATAACTGTTTACAGAAGTAGGCGGAACCAAACATGGCCAGTATTCTCGCAGCAAACTGGCGCATTTTAGAGTACTGGCTTGACAAATAAGAAACAAATTGAGGGATACCAATTTCAGTATTGAATCGCACTGCATTTCAATTAGTTCCATTTGAATGTTACTATCTGCCTTCTGAATAGCGAATGAGTATGGAGCCGTAAACGAAGAGAAATCGTTCTCGCACGATTTGAAATCTTATAACCTGTTTTCAAAGTCATTAATTAATTAATTAATTTGGGAGACATAACTGGTAAAATCGGAATTACTGTGGGACTTTTTGAAATCCTGGCAGGTAGGAAAATGAATTAAGTTGCCATTCTTCATTTTCTTCCCAAAGTTTTAGCTTTAATTGAAAACCTTAATACTGTCATACAATGAAACTACAACATGTCTTTTCCCTTTTAGCTTTAAATTTAAGCCATTTAAATGCCAGGTAATGTACACCATAAAGGCCAAATCCTGAACCCAATTATCATCACAAAGTTTGTCGGGTGAGGGGCAGCACTTTGTGGCTATGGGGGCCGCATGTTTGACACGGCTGTCATAGGGGATAAAATTCTTCAAATAAGAAAAACTTTTTATGAAATTTGTGACATGAATTTATCGAACTTCGTGGCGTGGTGACTAGCATACCTCCTACTCTGAAGGTCTGCAGCGTAGAACGAATTGACCAAAATAATTTAAATAGGTTTAGTACCTATTTAATAAAATTACTGTCAGAGCTCATTCCAGTATGCAGTATATAATATTGTGACGTGTCGCGCTAGCTGAACCCCCCCCCCCCGNGGAGCTGACACTACAGCGGAGCCTAAGTTAGCCGAGTCCCAGCGTCCTGGTAGCTATGCAACGCGAGTCAACAGCGGTGACGTAAGATGGCGTGAGGTAACAGCGTTGCTAGGCAATACGCAGACACTGTTACGTGGCACGCAACGACGCTGTTGACGGGGGCAACAGGTAACAGCGAAAGGAATATAAGCCGGCTGAGCAGCAAGCGAGAGCCAGTGTGTTATCAACAGTTCTTAAGGCAGCAGGCTGCGAGTAGAGTTGGAATCTAGCCAGCGGCGAGTTACGAGTGAAAGTGTGTGATAATCAGTGACAGTTTGTGATAACTGAGGATTGATTGGGAGTGTGTGATACAGTAACACTTATATAGCTCCCGTACTATGAAACGTGTAGACTACTGACAATAGAGTGAATTGAATATTGCGAATAGGGTTATAAGTTGTGAAACCCCGCAACATTGTCATAATTAATTGTAACCGTTGCGCAACACGTCACAATATTTTACATAGTCATGAAATCATCGTCAGATTACACAATAAACTGTAGATAACAATTGAAATGGCTCTAGTAGTCAACGGAACTACTATCAGAGTGCACAATAAATTATCTGTAACAATTGAAAACATTTAGTATCTAGTTACTACAAACATCTCTCCAGAGCACCAAAAAATTTATATAGATTTCGGAGATTGATGAGATTGACGTTACAGTGCACAGCAAGCTGTCTGAAAATTTAAATATTTAAAGTATCTAGTTGGCAGTCGCGGTGCATTCCGTTCTGTTCTTTATGTATCAAATAACTTCAAAATTAATGAAACTATTATTAGGGGGGCAGAAGAAATATCCAAAACGCAATCAAATATGTTTAGTACCTAATTAACGAATATATCAATAGAGTGCATTCCAGTCTGACCGTAACATTTAAGCTATCTTTAACAGTTGATGAGACTACTGTCTGAATGCACAATAAACAGTTAATAGCAACTGAAACAGTTTCCTTAGTTAGAGTGCAGTACATATTATCTATAATAATTAATGTTGTCTGTTAATCCTTAGGTTTGTTCTGAAATTACCGTCAGAGTGCTTTCGTCCTGCCATAAAAACTGAAATACAGATACTGATGCTATTGCTAGAGCTCACAATAAGCTGTCCATGGCAATTGAAACAACAACAAACTACACAGTATTATTGTGACGTGGATGGCGTAGCGCTGACGTAACACGGGACGCCGGAGTTGCTACTTAGCCGTAAACAACTCCCGGCAGCGCTGCCCAGCAACGCCTTTGTAAACACGGCTGGGATTCCGTGCAACGACTGTTCCTAGGCAGTCGGTAAACACGACGTGACGCAACAGTGGTGCCTATTACGTAACTGTTTTCTGTGTTGTCCGTAACGGGGCTAAATAAGGAGCAGCGAACACTATTCAACAGTTAGTTACGAGTTAGCCAGGGAGTCAGTCAGTCAGTGTGTGAGCAGGAGTGACACAGTGCGGATTTAACAGTAGCCGACCGGAAAGAAGAATACCTGAACGTGTGATTAGAAATGATAGCGTGAGAAGCAGATACTTGGCTCAGAAGGGAAGTAAATGGGAGTGTGTAATACAGTGACACAGGTATAGCTCCCGTATCATACTGTGAATACGTGTAGACTCCTGAGGACAGTGTGAACAGAATAGTGTGTCGGGTTTGTAAAGTGTGTAAACCCGTAACAATGTTAAAATTAATTGTAACCCAGGCGTGTAGATTGTTAAATTAACCAATTAACAATATGAAAGGCGTCTTCAGTAACCTAAACACGTCACACTGATGTCAGAATTGCTTTACGAACTTGAACACTCCTCGACGAATAATTGAACTTACGAGTGCTTCGACTATTATACTGCCACAAAAATGGGGGCACAGCAGATGTTGGAAATTCTGAAAGAGATGAGGGCCTACCAAGTTAAAGCAGATGCCGACAGAGTGCAGATGCAAGACAGAATGGAGGCCAATAGAAAGAAAGACAAGTGGATTTTCTGGCGAAATTAGAATTCAATCAAGGAAAAGGAAATATCATACTGGCAAAATTAGACGCCGATGGGAAAACTGACAAAGAGGAAATGCTGAAAGAGATGAAGGCTGGTATAAAGGCCGAGAAGGACGAAATGGAAGCCAAAAGAAAAAGAAGACAGAGAAGATTCCCTGGAAAAATTGGACATGAACCAAGAAAAACCGACGTCATGCTGACAAAATTAGAAGCCTACAAAGAAAAGGCGGCGGCCGATAGGAAGGCCAACAAGGAGGAAATGAAGGTCGAAATGCGATCTATGCGTTCAGAGTTTGATGAGACACTCGAACATAAAATTGAAGCTATCAGAGGAAGGACAGGAGTCATGCGAGAAAATATGGACACCAGCCAAATGGAGATTGTGACGTGTCGCGCTAGCTGGACGCCCCCCCCCCCACACGGGAGCTGACGCGCCGAACGATGGCGAAGTGAGCCGAGCGAAGCCGAAGCGAGCCGAATCCCAGCACGCTGGTCGCTATGCAACGCGGGTAAACAGTAGTTGCGAGAGACAACTCCCGATAGCGTTGCTAGCAACACGGGGCCAGACAGCAATGGTGCCTATTACTTACCTGTTTCCTGCGTTGTCCGGAACGGGGCTAAATAAGGAGCAGTGAATCTATTCAAAGGAAGTTCTCAGTTCGCAAGTTACGAGTTACGGACGCGTGTGTGAGAATCAGTGATAGTTTGTGATAACCGAGAATTAATTGGGAGTGTGTAACACAGTGGCACTCCTGTACTGTGAAACGTGTAGTCTACTGACTATAGCGTGATTTGATTTGCGAATAGGGTTATAAATTGTGAAACCCCGCAATATCATTGTAATTAATTGTAACCGTTACACGTTACATTGGTGTCAGAATTGTTTACGAACTTAAACACGCCACAAACAGATTTTTGTGCATCGAATATTTTACTGCTACAAAATGGAGAAACAAGATATGCAGCAAATAATCGCCATGCTAGCGAAATTAGACGCCAAATTAGAGGCCAACCAAGAAAAGGCGGCATCCGATAGGAAGACAGCAAAGAAAATATAGTGGCCAAATTAGAGGCCAACGAAGAAATGGCGGCGGCCGATAGAAAGACAGACAAAGAAGATTTACTGGCCAAATTAGATGCCAACCAAAAGGAGATGAAAGCCGACAAGGAAGATATGAAGGCCGCAATGCGATCTATGCGGTCAGACTTAGAAGAGATAATCCAATATAGAATTGAAGACTGTTTTGCCATCTTTTAGCAAGACAAACGGACTCTCCAGTCGGAACTAACTGAGAAGATCGAAGTGTCCCTCTGCGAGCGGACAGATAAACTCCGGGAAAACCTGACGGAAAACTATAAGGAAACCTGCGCAGCAATTGAGGAGGCCAAACGCGAGTTCCAGGCCCGGTTGGACATACTACAGATGAAGGCCGTGCAGGGAAATGCATCAACGATCGTCACGAGCACAGCTCAGCCACCGACATTCAACGGGAATTCAACGTGGAGTGTGTTCCGGCGACAAATCGAGACCGTAGCAGAACACAACCAATGGTCGGAACGGGAAAAATCGACATACCTAATTACTGCCCTCAAGGGTCGGGCGGTGGAAGTACTACCCGGCATTCCGACAAATACGACTTACGAGGAAACACTTCAGGCATTAGAGGACCGTTTCGGGGACCAACACTTTGCAGCTGCTTACCGCTGCCAATTAAGAACAAGGACGCAGAAACCTGGAGAATCCTTGCAACACTTTGCCACTGCCATTGACCTTCTTTCCCGTCGTGCCTATCCCAATCTACCTGCTGACCTCATAGGAAGAGAGGCAGGAAAAGCCTTCGTATACGGAGTACGAGATGCGGATATAAAGATCCAGCTGCTGCTGGGAGGCGAGAAGACGGTAAACGAGGCCCTCCGAGAAGCGCTAGAGCTGCAGGCGGTACTGGTAGCAGCCAGACCTCACCGAGATAGCACCAAATTCCGATCGTCCCCCAACCAACGAGGAGATGACAATAGACAGCACCGGGGCCGAAAAGAAGGACCCTGAAGAAATAAGCGGGAATTGCCGGGGAAATCAGAATGGCGACGCGGAAACAACGGGAGAAACGACCAACTGGCGGGAAACGAGCTAGGGCCGGCGGAGAGGGGCGGACGCCGGCATATGCGTTAAGGCCACCACACTGCGCGCTCACCGACATCACGCAAAAGGCCAACACCAGTCTGGTCACCCAAGGATGGGTCGGTGATAAGCCGTGCCAGGTGACAGTGGACACTGGAGCATACGTCACGGTAGTAAGACGGGATATCGCAGCCGGAAGTCCTGAAAAACAGCCAAATCCAGATTTCACGCAGCAGACCGTGTCTGGTGGATTCCTACCCGTCCTGAAAGAAGTTCTGTTGACCCTTATCATGGGGCGCCAACCGATAACAATGTGGGTTTTCGTCGCGAATATCACCGATGAGCTCATCCTGGGACTGCACATACTGCGCGCCTATGATGCGTCAGTGGATATAGGGCGCCAAACTCAGCGTCTGGCGGAAGAAGAATTATCATTATGGAGTCCTGGGGCGGGACCCCGTCCTTCTAGCCTAGTAGATGCAAAGGACAATGTGAACCCCGCACAGAGCGAGGGAATAGTGATGGCTAAAATGGAGAATCATCTGGGAGTAGAAAATGGTCTAGTAGAACCAAGCCCCCAGGCTCAACCGACGGAAGGAATATACGTAGTCAGGACCCTAGTTCAGGACTGTCAAGAAGTACCAGTGAGGGTCATGAATGTTACCCACAAGGACCAAAATCTCAGGAGAGGATCTCCTTTGGCGCACTGTGAGCCAGTAACACTTGTGACTTTTCCCGATGTGGGACAGCCAACAGCACCAGGCCGGAAACCGAAATTGGCGGACGTGACCACGGCGACCAAGCCACACCTAAACGCCATGGAATTTCAAGAATTGGAAGAACTCGTGGCCGAGTACGCAGATATCTTCGCACAGGACAACGAAGATTTTGGAAGGACAAACAAAGTATATCACCGCATAGACACGGGATAAGCCCGACCAATCCGACAGCCACCGAGGAGAGTACCCCTGGCAAAACAAGAAGAAGTAAAGGAAATGCTCTACAACATGCGAGGACAGGGTGCTGTAGAATAATCGGACAGCCCTTTGTCGTCCCCGGTCGTTTTGGTCAGGAAAAAGAATGGGGAGCTCCGTTTCTATGTGGACTACAGAAAGCTGAACGACGTCACCAAGAAGGATTGCTTTCCACTACCCCGCACTGACGACACCCTGGACACGCTGACCGGAGCTAAATGTTTTTCAACTCTCGATTTAAAGAGTGGCTATTGGGAAGTCGATGAACCCCCAGACGACAAAGAGAAAACAGCGTTTTCAACAGGTCAAGGGTTATGGCAGTTAACAGTCAGGTCCCTTGGCCTCTGCAATGCTCCGGGAACCTTCGAGAGGCTAATGGAGACAGTCCTACGAGGTCTCACGTACGATTCATGCCTTGTGTATTTGGACGACGTGATCGTATTAGGCCGCACATTCCAAGAGCACATGCTTAACTTACGGAAAGTGTTTCAGAGGTTCCGGGAAGCACATCTGAAACTTAACCCGGAAAAATGTCAACTTTTGCAGGAAGAGGTCAGGTACCTCGGGCATATTGTATCACCACGAGGGATATCCACCGATCCGGAGAAGTTGGAAGCCATGCGAGAATGGCCGACCCCGAAGTATAAACCTGAAGTTAGCGGCTTTCTGGGACCATGCGCGCATTACAGGCGATTTATTTCAAGGTTTTCCAACATTGCGAAACCACTAACTAGACTAACGGAAGAGAAACAAACCTTCCAGTGGAATCCAGAAGTGGAGGCCGCTTTTCAAACACTAAAGAGTACCCTATGAGCTGCCCCTATTCGTGCCTACCCACAGCCAGGAGAGAAAATCATTGTGGACACAGATGCAAGTAATGTCGGAATTGGAGGCGTACTCTCTCAAGAGTACTCCTCTTCTTCAGCAAGACGCTGAACAAAGCAGAAAGAAATTACTGCGCAACCCGACGAGAACTACTTGCCATAGTGAGGACACTGGAACATTTCCACAAGTACCTCTACGGACAACAGTTCCATCTGCGAACGGACCACTCTGCGCTTACCTGGCTTATGAGTTTCAAGAACTTAGAAGGACAAACTGCGCGCTGGATACGGCGTCTTTAGGAGCACAACTTCACTTCGGAGCATCGTCAGGGCCGGAAACATAACAACGCCGACGCTCTTTCAAGACGACCCTGCCAAGAGCAATGTGCGCACTGCCAGAAAGTTAAGACGGGGGCAGAGGTAAAGCAAATATGCGCTATTGGAACCCTACCGGCAGCCGGCTGGGACCCTGTTACACTAAGAGAGGAACAGCTAAAAGACAAGGACATAGGGCCTATTCTAGGCCTATTCTAGGGAGTAGAAAACGGCCAACGACCGAAATGACAGGACACCACGGATCGGAGTCCCAAGTACAAAAGCTACTGGGCCCAGTGGAAATTGCTCACTGTGAGAAACGGCGTACTAGAGCGCGCAAGGGTATCCGCCAACGGAAGATGTCAAGTAGCCCAGATAATTATTCCTCGGAGCAGGGTGAAGGATGTTCTGAGCGAACTACACGGTGGACCGTCCGGAGGTCACTTCGGTGTTAATAAAACTATGAATAAGTTTCGGCAGAGATTCTACTGGCTCCAAGCAAGAACCGATATTGAGAAGTGGTGTCGACAGTGTGACACATGTGCAACCAGTCGGGGACCGCGGACCAGGAATCGTGGGCAAATGCACCAGTATAATGTCGGGGCTCCCTTCGAGAGAGTAGCCATTGATATAGCAGGACCCTTCCCACGAAGAGACCAAGGCAACCGATACTTCCTGATCGCTGTGGACTACTTCACCAAGTGGCCGGAAGTGTACGCCATCCCGAATCAGGAGGCTTCGACAATAGCGGAAGTTCTGGTTGCCAACTTCTTCTGCCGCTTCGGCATACTTCGGGAGTTGGACAGTGACCAAGGCCGTAACTTCGAGTCTCATCTACTGAAAGAGGTTTTGCAACGCCTGGGAGTGAGCAAGACGCGCACCACACCCCTGCACCCACAGTCGGATGTCATGGTGGGACGTTACGTCAAGACCACCGAGGAGCACTTGCGGCAGGTCGTAGCATCCCACTAGGGACTAGGATGAGAGGTTACCCCTCTTTCTCCTAGCTTAGTGGTAGAATGCTCGCCTGATACGCGGGCGGCCCCGGTTCGTTTCCCGGTCGATTCACCAAGATGAAGCGGTTGGAGACCAGAGCTACGGGAAGGAAAAGGATGGTGGTGCACCGTTAGGCTATTCGGGACAACAGCCTTAAGGTGCGAGCAGTGTGACGTGTCGCGCTAGCTGGACTCCCCCCCCGGGAGATTACGCGCCGAATGGAGCCGAAGTGAGCCGAGCAGAGCCGAAGCGAGCCGAATCCCAGCACGCTGGTCGCTATGCAACGCGGTAACACAGTGATTGCGAGAGAAAACTCCCGACGGGGAGGAACGTCCAGCTAGCGCGACACGTCACACTAATCCCTCCTCAAGGCTGTTCGTCCCGAATAGCCTAACGGTGCACCATAGATCCTTTTCCTTCCCGTAGCTGTGCTCAGTAGCAAAACACGTTATATTGGTGTCAGAATTAGGATGGTCAGTTCCTTGTTCTTCTCCAGGGCTCTATTGGCCACCACCTGTTCCTCATGGATTGTAGAATGATATGTCTGGATATACAACTTTCTCAATGCACATGCAACCAGCACAAACAGGGCTGCAATTATAGTATACCACGCAAAGGGGGAGATGCCTGTGGAAACCTTGTCCTGGGAACCGCTGAGTTCTGGTAAACCATCTTGCCGTGACTGCTTGGAAGAGACAGGCTGGACGATTCGACGGGTTCGGGCTGTTGAATGGTCCGTGGCAATTTTGGGGAGCTGGACATTCAGGAGGTTTGAATGTTTGGGTTGGGGTTGGGGTGCTGGGACAGTTTACAGCTCTTCTCTTGTTTTGGGTGAACTTCTGTTGGATTTCGTGAACCAGTAACTTTGAGCTCTGGGGCCGGCGCGACCTGTGACCATATTCTTTTGTCTGCCGACCCTGGCTGAGTCATAAGACTGTCTCCTTTTCCTAGCTCTGAAGATGTAAATGTAATTGGGGGGATTTGGGCACTTAGTGGTGTTAAGATGATCGGCTTAGTTAAAATCCCATTTTGTATCGGCCCGAGCTTTCTAATTGCTACGGAGGATAATATTATCATCACAACATTAGCTGAAGTCTTCCTTGTGATGTTCATCTTGAAACAATCACGTATGGGATGTCTATCAAGTTCATCCAACTTCTGTCACCAATGTAACGTGTTTTGTTATGAGCACGCCGTTCGGGTTGTCAATTGGTTTATTTAACAACCTACAAATAACGGCTACAATTAATTAGAACAATATTGTGTGTAACACAGTGACACTCGTATAGCTCCCGTATTGTGAAACGTGTAGTCTACCGACAATAAAGTGATTTGATTTGCGAATAGGGTTATAAATTGTGAAACCCCGCAATATTGTTATAATTAATTGTAACCGTGATTTGTAGGTTGTTAAATAAACCAAATAACAATCCGAACGGCGTGCTCAGTAGCAAAACACGTTACGGGAGATGGTGTATGTATTTAAATCCGAAATAGAGGCGGAGACGATGGCCTGCCAAGAGATGGAGGCACGTCTAGTAGAAGAAAAGCCGGCCTCAGTGGACACAAAACATGCAGCGGCACAACAAGAAGTGGTCCCCACAGTAATACGGATCGTAGAACCTGAAGAAGAAACAACGGATGCCAGAGAAGAGACGATGTCCTGCCAAGAGATGGAGACACGTCTAGAAGAAAAAGAGCCGACCTCAGTGGACAGGAAACCTGAGGTGGCCCAACAAGGAGAAGCGCCCAACATTCGCCGTCGTCGTTGTGTGTGATGTCGCCCTCGCCATAGCTGTCACTCGGCCTTCGCTGTCGTCTTTCGCTGGGCGGTCACCCTCGCCCTTGTCAGTGCTCTCGCCGTTGGATGTGCTCTCGCCATCGTCGTTGTGTGTGATGTAGCCCTCGCCGCTGGCTGTGCTCTCGCCATCGCTGGTCACTGGGCTGTTGAGATCGTCGTTTACTGAGCTATCACCATCGACGTTGGGTGTGATGTGGCCGTCGCCGTTTGCTGTGATCTTCTCACGTACCCATCTTCTGATCCACTCGAAGCAACCGCCGGTGGACCAGTCTTGGGAGTGTTTCGTGCCGTCTCCCGTGTTTTCTGGGTAATTCTTCTCATAAAAGTTATCGTCGACGTCCAGATCGTTTTTGAGGCTCAAGCATGTTCGGACCCAACCAAAGCAACCGCTGCTTGTCGAGTCTCGGGACAGTTTTGTGCTCTCTCGTAGTTCGTCATGAAGAGAGCCGCTGTAACCTTCCGTTTCGGCGGGAAAACAAGCACGAATGCTCTCCGCCCCGCGCTCCGTATCCGAACCAGAAAGACGTATGTTTACAGGACACTTTCATAGTTCCTTCACGTTTTTTCGCAGTCACAGTCTTTTCTTGCGATTAGTTGAAATGCAAATTAATTCTGGTAATGGATTTTAACGATGAAGTTACTCCCAGTGGAAGGTGTGGATCGCGTGAACTTTTGTGATCTCGCGAGTGACGTCACATACCACCACTCCGTCCATCAGTGTGCAACGCTCGGTAGACGTCCCTTTCCTCGCGGTGACGTAACACGGGACGCCGCAGTTGCTACGTAGCCGTAAACAACTCCCGGCAGCGCTGCCCAGCAACGCCTTTGTAAACACGGCTGGGATTCCGTGCAACGACTGTCCCTAGGCAATCGGTAAACTCGACGTGACGCAAAAGTGGTGCCTATTACGCGATAGTTTTCTGTGTTGTCCGTAACGGGGCTAAATAAGGAGCAGCGAACACTATTCAACAGTTAGTTACGAGTTAGCCAGGGAGTCAGTCAGTCAGTGTGTGAGCAGGAGTGACACAGTGCGGATTTAACAGTAGCCGACCGGAAAGAAGAATACCTGAACGTGTGATTAGAAATGATAGCGTGAGAAGCAGATACTTGGCTCAGAAGAGAAGTAAATGGGAGTGTGTAATACAGTGACACAGGTATAGCTCCCGTATCGTACTGTGAATACGTGTAGACTCCTGAGGACAGTGTGGACAGAATAGTGTGTCGGGTTTGTAAAGTGTGTAAACCCGTAACAATGTTAAAATTAATTGTAATCCAGCCTTGTAGATTGTTAAATTAACCAGTTAACAATCTGAAAGGCGTCTTCAGTAACCTAAACATATTACATTATATTATAGAAGAAAACAATCTAGATGAGTATAAAGAGTACTGTTCACTGCCATTTCGTAGGAACATGTTATTTCCTTCTTTAGGATCTAATAGTAACCCTAGACAGCCACTAGCTTTTCGAGCCGGAAGGCGGAGGCAATATGTTCCTCGGAAATGTCAGTATATCTCTAGGACAAGGGTGAAGAAACTACGGCCAGCGGGCCACATCCTGCCCGCGATGTGATTTTATCCTGCCCGCAAAGAATTGTGCAGAAATGCGCAAATTGAACTAATTTTCTAATGAGTACTACTGGTAAAAAAAAATTACTTTTTCATAGATTTCCAATTCATTAATTAAGATTGTTTTTAAAATATATTGATATTGCATATTATGTTAATATTAATATTATTCAGAACTTTACTAATTCTGGACCGTATACTGCGCGGTCTTCGTACTTGTACGGCCTCGACCTGCAGTGTCACTTCGTGGCAATGTAGGTAGCGCGAGCAGTTCGTTACTAACCGTCTTGTGCACAAGACTTTTGCAGTGGTGCAGTTTAATTGTAACAGATCATCATCACCTCAATTTAATTAGATTTCAAGAATGCAGAAGAATTCCATCATTCACATTAATTGTTTTATTATAATTTGTGATGAAAATATTAGCATTTGCCGCTATTGTCTGTTGTCATTAATATATGATAATTTATTCTCACGTACTTTGTATTTAGTTTATGAAATTCTGTGCTTTCAATAAAATTCATATACCTAGAGTTATTAATTTCTCATTTTATCCGACCCGTTGAAAGTGCTGAATTCCCTAATGTGGCCCGCGTTTCGAAAAGTTTGGAGAACCCTACTCTAGCATAATTAATGGATGTGTCTTTTTCGGTTTTCCAAGTTGGTCAATTCACCGTTGGAGCACAACAATGCCCACTTTTTTTTTTTTTTTAAGCTTCAAATTACAGTTCTCTGATTCGTGTATATGGTCGTCTTGTATGATCCGTGGATTGCATATTGACGTCAAAACTTTGGCCGCCTATCAATCGACAGTGTTATCCATATAGCTGAATTCACAGGTTTGAGGTCAGCTTTGTAATTGAAAGGTTGAGGCTCGTTGATAATAATCGGCCGTGTTGTGTCAAATTTGTTTTGTTAAATCAGGAACGATCAGGAATACAATGGAAGCAGCAGTTGCACAATTAGAAGAATCGGTACGTTGTTAATATGTATCAGTTTAGATATCTAATGCCATTTGAGAATAACGTTACAGAGTAACTTCAACGTTTATGGTTACTTGCAGATAATTAGTAAGAGAATGTGAATCAATATTTGTATTCTTATTAAAGGTGCAAAAGGCCGGCAGCACGCTGGATACGATAGCGTGGAAGTTAGACCAATATGAAAAGCAAGTTGTGCATGTTGATGCCAGTGACCTACCAACAGAGGTATGGAAAGAAACTAAATAAATTTGTAAGCAAAGTAAAGCTATCCCTGTAACAGGCCGTGAAGGCCCATAGGGTTGTGAGACGTTGTGGGTCCCACATTAGCTAGACAATCGGCTCAAAGATGGCGGTAAGGTTGTCACCCTTACGCGCCGGCCGTGCTTTACTCCCCAGGAAAATTATTTATTTCTATTTGAAAGAAACAGGTTAGAAGAAAGATTATAACTTTGGGGGCTTTACAAATAAACTGTAGGAAAAAAGTAGTATTACAAAACATAACCTTGGTGTGCTCAAAGATGTAGGTGGTTTTTGAACAGATACATTTGTTTTACTGAGCAAAATCTGTAATAAAGAATTAATCCTCTTCCTAAACTTTGGTTCTGTGCCTGATTTTATTTTTTAACTATCCAGTGTTAGCGATTCCCTCAAATAATACACCTACTTCATTTCTTTGGAACAACTTTACAGTGTGATCCTGTAGATGTGCTTTATTAGCACGCATTAATTGTGATGTCTTTTGCCAGCAAACTCTTGACTTGCTAGACCCATCACAATGTAAATTTAATGGAACTTACTTAATTACACTCTCAAGTGACTGCCAACAGATGTTCCCATCAAAATCTGTCATAATAACAGATGAATTGTATAAGTTATCAAGTTTCATGTCTTAAATGCAATAAATATTGTGAGAAACAATTATTCATTGGCTTCTTGTCTTGCAGGTGTCTGTGCTGAAGCTCCTACGGAGTGTTAACCAAGTGCAAAAAGAATATGAAAACCTGCGAAGAGAGATTTCTGAGGTGCAGCAATTACAAAAGCAGCTGTCTGATTCATTACGCCTCCAGCTGCGACAGGTGCAGGGAACGTTTGGCACACTTCGTGACAAGATTATTGGTGGAAGCCACCATAATAAGTAGCTCATTCTTTTCGAGTTCTGTGGATGATACTAGCTGCTTAAAATTAATCTAAGAATTTTTGCAATTGTCTCTCACATATTTTGTTCCAAAATGTAGCTTATAATTTTAATTAATATTAAGTTCTTCTTGATTTGATGTAATCATAGATAAGTGACATGTTCCTTTATAGCATGGCATAAAGGAACTGTTTTGTTAGGCTGTTGATTATATATGCTTTCAGTGTGATTTAAATAAGTTGGTAAGATTGCCGTAAAGAGACAGGGGAACTTACTTTGTGTAGGACAGAAGCAGTCTTTGTTGTGTTAGCTTGAAATATCTTCATTTGAGCAATTTTAAATTATTGAAAGTAAGTAAAATCTTATGCACAGCAATATTATTATACTGTCGCAAATAAGATTTAAATTGGTATTCCATTCCTGTGGCTAACAGTGCAGTTAGATTTAGAAGTTGATTGTAATTAAGCTGTTGTGGTGTTTGAAACCATGTTTTGTCTTCCAACTTGTCTTCCTTGTCTCTGAAATTGTTGGGGTCCCTGTTATGCTTTTCCACCATAAGCCTACTTACTTTTCAGATTAATTTGAGTTGCTACCTGGACATGCTAGGACTGCATTACACTGCTGGCTGTTAACCAGAAGGATGTTTGCCACAGTACAATCTTGCCTACAGTGTTTGTTCAATTTGAAGACCTAATTTTAATGTTAATGTTACTGTTCATGTGATTCAAAGCACTATGTACTCCACTGAAAAGTGTATTACAGTTTTAATGGATTTAATGCTGTTGTTGAGGCACTTATGTCTGAACACATATCTTTGCAAAAAACAGAGAAGGTTAGCATGACTGTTTGTATGCAATAATTGCTTGGCGTCTGTTACTGACACAGTGTTTCATCAGTAAAGCATGGTATTTTACCAGTGCTATTAAATCATTTCATATCATTACATACATCTTTTCATCTTAAGCAGTGGGGGAAAAATACTTGCAATAAAACATAGCATTAAAAGTGTTGATTGATATTTTTTTCTGTATACTAAATATATATATATGTGTGTGTAGATCTGTATGGAAAAACTAGAGATCATTCAAATTCTAAAGCCACCAACTGTGGATTGAATACCAGAGAGGTGGCAACCTTGATGATATCCCATGACGTCTTCTTCTGTACGGCCTTGTACAAAACCACAACTTGCTCAATTGTCTAAAAGTATTCTTTGAATAATAATGTAATTTCTTTTTAATTATATGATATAAAAACATCACTACTTCATTCCATGCACAGTAGTTGATGTCAATTGTACCAATATTAACAACCTTAAAATAATTTTCATTTCATGGATCCTGTTGTGTTATAATATACAACTTCTTTATTAAAACCATCACAACACAACTATATCAAGGTCAGTGCCTAGTTTGGCAGAGCCAAATAATGAAGTTGAACATTAAAATAATATAGCAATCTTTTTTGGGATACTTTATCAACATTTCACCTCGTTTTTCCTAGGAATGGTTGTTAATTTTATATGTCAGGGAGATATACTGTACTGTCAACAGTGATAAGGGCAGCTCTGCTGCTAAGAAGTGTTCTGAAGCTGTGACTTTTTGACACATATAGACCCTTGTATAAACATTTTGGAAGTATTTAAAATAATGAATGATGTTTCTATGAACATTTATTGTATGTGATAGTTGTAAATACTTTACAAAGAATGTTATTCCAGATGGAACGTGTGAAACTGTGTTTTCATGAAGAAAGCAGTCTTCTGGGATGTGGTGCCATCTTCAGGGTAGAAGAAAAATTAAGAAAATCCGCGGGCGAGGAACCAGCTTAAGCAGGTGCTAATAGACTAATGTTAGTGCCACATCCCAGAAGACTGATTTCTTCATAGTCAGCGCCGTGAAAACCTCAAATCTTGCATATGTGTTTCCATGTTTGTGCTAATTTACTATTTTCATTCAGGATTTTTTTAAGTGGACTGTTTGGTTCAACATATGGTTTCCATGAATACATTCATTCATTCCTTCCCAGCACTCATGATAAGGTATAGTCAAGTACATGTGGGAACATATCACTAGCTGATTAAAAGAAATAATTTTAACATATTTTTACCTTACTCATTAATCTTAAAGATTGTAAGTTTAGTTATGTTGAGTATTAAAAAGTAGAGTGTATATGAAGTTCTGTCAGAGATACAATAATATCTACAATAAGTAACATTTCATTGCTCAAATGTTTATATGGTGATAAGGTTGTTTAATCTGTGACGACTTTACTGTGTATTTAAAAAAAATGTGTATTACTATTGTGTGCATTATGTATGTATTTGTACTTCAATAAATATAGACTTTTGTGACTTATTAAATATATTCCGTGAAATGTTAAGTGTTAAGCTTTTAACTTTGCTGACAGAAAAATTTGAAATACAACAGAGGAAAACACAAGCTGAAATGCCGATCAAACTAAAATGGAAGAAGGATAGAATAACAGATTCCGTGGATGAGCAGAGGATAGCCAGAGTAGCAGAACAAACTGCTCCTCCGAGAAGGCGACGAAAGATCCCAACTACGAGAAATAAGGATTTTTTATGGGAATGATTTATAATAAGAATAAGGTGGATAATAGTAGGCAGTGGACTTCACTTGTAATTTATTTTCAGAATATAAGAAGCATTAGAAATAAGAAAGAAGAACTAGACATTTTTCTAAATGATGCATGTAATTATCCTGATATTTTATGTATCAGTGAGCACCATCTGAGTATAAGCGAGTTATCCATATTTTCTATGACAAAATATAAAATGGCAGCAGGGTTCTCACGTAACATGTGTCAGAATGGTGGAGTATGTATTTTAGTTAAAGAAGATTTATCATATCAAGAGCTAGATCTCAAAAATTTAAGTATGGAAAGGGTTTTCGAAGTCTGTGCTGTAAAGATAATTTTAAATAATAGGAAATTATGTATTTTATGTATTTATAGAGCGCCTGATGGAGATATATGTCAATTTATCGAGCGGCTAGATTCCACACTTTCATATCTAGTAAGCCTTAAATTGGAACCAATAATCTGTGGTGATACGAATATAAATTACCTTAGTGAAAACTGTAAAAAAGTACAATTACAAGCTTTATTAGATACTTATAATTTAACACAAATAATTGAGTTTCCAACTAGAATAAGTACTACTTCTGTCTCATTGATTGATCATTTTTTTATAGACAAGAATGCTTATAACAAATTCCAAGTTTGTTCTGCTATAAATGGTCTCTCGGACCACGATGGGCAAATTCTGATACTTGGAGACATGCTGGTGATGAGGCAAAGTGATCATGTTAGAGCATATAGAGACATTAATGAGGAAAACATAGTATGTTTTCAACGGGCTTTACAGAATGAAAATTGGATAGAAGTTTATAATCAAGAGAATGTAAATATGAAATTTAATATCTTTCACAACATTTTTTTATCAATCTTTGAAAATAGCTTTCCCATAGTATATAAAAAAAAGAAAGACTCTAATAATTGGATAACGAAAGGCATAAGAATATCTTGTAAGCATAAGAGAGCATTATACATCTTAGTTAAAAAATCAAGTGATGATAGTTTGAAGTTATATTATAAAAGATATTGTAAGATACTAGTAAGAGTAATAAGAGAAGCAAAGAGACTGTATTATCAAAAATTAATAATTAATTCAGAAAATAAAATACAAGTAACTTGGAAGATTATTAATAAAGAATCCGGAAAAAACCAGGTCTCAGATAAAGTAACAGAATTGCAAGTGGGAGAAAGTAGAGTAACGGATCCTAAGGAATTAGTGAGAATATTTAATAAACATTTTATAACTGTAACTAAGAATTTGGCAACAAAAAATGCTGATAAAAGTGAGGCAATTAAATTATTAAATAACCTTAAGTATGATAACTTACCTGAACTGAAATTAATACCCGTAACTGAGGTGGAAATAAAGAATATACTTAAGACACTAAAATCGAAAAATTCTACAGGCTATGATGGTATTTCTAGCAGAATATTAAAATATAGCATTAATCAAATAAGTAAACCACTTGGACATATACTTAATGCATCACTTGAACGTGGAATTTTTCCCGATAGAATGAAATTTGCGTCAGTAAGACCTTTACACAAAACAGGTGAGAAGGTCGTTATGGCAAATTATAGACCAATATCACTGTTAATAATCTTCTCCAAGATATTTGAAAAAGCGATGTATAATAGGATAAAGCAGCACCTACATACAAATAATCTAATTTCATCTGCTCAGTTTGGATTTAGAGAAAATAGAAGTACAGAATCTGCAATCTATGCCTTAACTAATCATATATTAGAAACTTTGGAACGACGCTGTCTTTCATTAGGAATATTCTGTGATTTGACAAAGGCATTTGATTGTGTGGTGCATGATATCCTTTTGAGCAAGTTGGCTGTATATGGACTTGGTGGTAAAACTTTAAGATGGTTGAAATCATATTTGGGAAATAGAAGGCAAAGAGTGGAATTGTATACTAATGGGAATGAAAAATGTTGTTCAGGATGGGAGATTGTTGAATATGGAGTGCCGCAGGGCTCGATTTTGGGTCCCTTGCTGTTTCTTTTATATATCAATGACCTGTCATCAGCATTAAATACTGATGATAGGTTATTGTTGTATGCAGACGATACAAGCATAGTAGTGTCTGGTATTGATATTGATGAAATCCAAGTAAGGTCTAACTTAGTGTTGAATTCTTTAAGCCGTTGGTTTGCAGTTAATGGCCTGTCTCTAAATCTGAAGAAAACTAAAGTGGTAAAATTTGATACAACTAATCGAGATAATATGTCTATACATTTAAAGTTTAATGATGAGATATTGCATCAGGAAACCCACGTTAAATTCTTGGGCATTGAAATTGATAAGACCCTGAATTGGAAGTCACAGATTGAATCGATGCTGTCCAGATTGGGCAAGGCATGCTTTGCAATAAGAAACATGAAATTGTATAGCAATATTGAAACACTAAAGATGATTTACCATGCATACTTTCATTCAATTATGAGATATGGGATAGTATTTTGGGGAAACTCGTGGGAGGCTAAGAAGATTTTTCTTTTACAAAAAAGGGCCATCAGGATAATGTTGGGAATGAAACCCAGAGAATCATGTAGAACAGTTTTTAAAAAATTAAAAATTTTGACATTGGCTTCTCAATATATTTTATCTTTAATGATACTAATGGTAAACAATCTGGGGCATTATACTTTTAATCATACAATTCATGGTAAATCAACAAGACAAGTTAGAAACCTTCATGTTCCTCAATCGCATCTAACAAAGAGGCAAAAAGGGGTCTATTGTATGAGTGTAAAAGTTTTTAATAGTTTGCCTGATTTTTTAATTGAGTTGGTACATGATAAAAAACAGTTTATTGAGAAACTAAAGGATGTATTGCTTCAAAACCCTTCTTATACTGTTGAGGAATTCCTGCTTTTCTGTCAAGACCTGTCAAGAGGTGTCTGACAGTGTACACTTCATTTAACTCTATGTCCTTGGCTGTGCTCATATATTCTTGCTGCAATTTGTATTGCTTTTTAACTATTGTATGTGTACTTGTTGCAATTTGTATTGCTTTTTAACTATTGTATGTGTACTTGTTGCAATTTGTATTGCTTTTTAACTATTGTATGTGTATTTGCTGCAATCTGTATTTCCTTTTAACAATTTTATGTGTTTTTTTTTGACAAGTATGGATTATATATGCTAGTGATTTTGTTTGTGAATGTACATGCTTCCAATGTCTTGTTGGCTTGTTGTCATGTTTTATATTCTGTGCCTGTGCACATTTGTGAATAATCTGAAACGCAAATGTGTATGTATGTATACTAATTTGCTTTGATGACAGATATGTTAAGGTCTTTGTTACAGTATTTTTGAGTTAATCCTTGGTAGCTTTCTGTAATTACAGTGAGACAACCATTTAAGATTTTTTGGGAGCAGTGAATTTGAACATACACTCCAGAAAATCTTAAATGGAGGTTATTTAACAGTTAGATTGTTTACTTGGTATTATTGAACTTTAATGTTAAATGAAGATAAACTTCAAATCAAGGTATATTAAATAGGAGTGCTACTGTAATTTGGAACCAAATGGTATTTGCTGATGTATCCTGCCTGAAATGTGGCTTCAAAATTGAACTTCAGTTCATGGATTCATTTCTTCCTGCAAAAGAATGTATTTGCACCCAAGACAATGCACCAAATTCCCAGTGTGCTTTAAATTGCCACAGTGAGAAAAGCATATTTCTTTTTATGTAGAAATTCCTAATGAAAAGTTGAAAAGGTATAAATCAGTAGGTAATGATCAAATTTTTGCACAGCTTATTTGAGAGAAGGGATTCATTTTACCGACTATGTTCTTGGCTCTCATTTCATACTTTGTTCACGTTTCCTACCAATTGCGTAAATAAATTGACATCGTTGTGATTAGTTCACATAATGGAGGAGCCGGGTGAATCTTACACACTTAATGAATACTGCAAGTTGTATGTTTAGAATGAAGTATATCATGTAACTCCTAGTTATGGATAATAGATGGCGGTAGTGTAAGTGTAGCGAACGGGGCCATTACCCAGTAATAGCGTAGAGTTGCATATCTCTGCGTAACTAATCTGTAGATACAAGCGATACAAGTGTGTTAGCGTACGTTTGTCATAGAAATGTGCAGTGAGATTTCTCATATTACTGATGTTACTGATTATTTCCGCTTTGTTCGAGATAATTTCCGGTTGTAATGTGTCTGTTGTTATAATGGAAGAAACTGCTACAAATGGTACAGCAGTTGATAATGGTGTTATAAAACTGAGTAATTATTGTCACCCTGTGAATATGGTTTTGTTTAAATGAGAAGCTCTGCTGTATTTCCGTTTATGTTGTGTACATGAAAAGAATTTTATTTTAAAACTATGCTTATGAGTGGGCGTCCAGTGTTGGGTTGCCATATTATTTTGAGGAAATTTTTAATAATAATGAAACCATTGATAAATATTTTAAAGAATATAGACTCCATTTATTAACTCATTACATCATCATTAATACCTCCTCATACGAACTTGGCTGTCAGTTTCACAGAACTGACATTGAAGTTACCTTGATCTTTCTTGTTATAGCTTAAGAGGAGTAATGTGTATTGTCAGTCATGTATTTAGATTGTCTTGAGTTGTATATTCTTTTTTATGAACTGATATATTCTGTTGAAACCAATAACCCTTCATTTTATAGAGGAGGCGACAGATGGGGCATCCATTGAATCTGTGTGCGCTGGGTGTCTCAACATTCTTGATGAGGAAGAGTTTATCCAAGCATTGAATCAGGAATGGCATATGGAATGTTTCAGGTATATTTTATCAAATTGTTATCTGTTCATTATGTATGGGCATTTTTCATAACACAAAGTTAACTTGTTGATATAATGTTTTGGTATCATCACATGTGACAGCTACAGCTTGCAAGACCTTCGTTTTCCCCCGTTTTTCTATCATTTGTGCCGTGTGTTCTTATGTGAACAGTGCAGTTTGTTATAAGGCTAATATATTATAAAACTGCTCATTTTGAATGTAGGTTGTATTCATTTTCATTGTACTGATTTTATTTCTAAACGTCCATGCTCATTGTGCAGATAGTTTTTATCCTCCATCTTGGTTTATCAAGAATATGATTTCCATCATCCTGCCAGATATTTAGCGTGTTAGTGTGATATGATTTTATGCACTGCCTTGCTTGGCGTCTAATTAATTTTATAAGATAAAGAGTTCTAGAACTTGAAAGATTTCATTGTTATCCATGGACATTTTGTTCTGTGTTATATAATAATTTTGCAAGCCATTTTGACTCTTATCTCTTCTTACAACTTTTACTTTGAATTATTTATACTTTGTTTAGGGTGGTCTGACCGCCTCTGTGACATAGTGGTCAAAGTTTCTGGCTACAGATCAGAGGTCCCGGGTTCGATTCCTGGCGCTACCAGATTTTCTGAGAAGTAGTGGGTCTGGAATGGGCTCCACTCAGGCTCATGAGGGTAATTGAGGAGCTATTTTAAGGAAATAGTGGCTCCTGTCTAGAAAACCGAGATTAACAGCCATGGGGATCCATTGCCCTGAGCATGTGACACCCTCTATCAGTTGAAGTTGGCACTAACTTTGCCCACAAGTGGCAGTCGCGCGGTCGGTATAGTTTGCTTGTGGACAACAGGCCACAGAGTTTTTTTTTTTTAAGGATGGTCCAGTTAAGGATGTAAGGGTAGCATGCATATGGGCAGTGAAAAATGCATATAAACTATTTAAGTTATGAAACCTTAAAGGAGGACACCACAAGGAGATCTAGGCATACATGGGAGGATTGTAAAGTGTGAGTTGTGAACTGAATTCAATTGGCAGTGGCCCAGTGACAGGTTGTTGTGAACATGGCAAGGAACTGTTGGGTTCCATAAAAGGCAGGGAATAACTTGAACAGCTGATCACTTACAAGCAACCAAAGTATGGCTGTACCTCATTTAGTTAGCTGTAAGTAGCTTTAAGTAAGTGGCTCTTAAATCTCTGTATGGTAACTCCCTCTTGTTCTGGACATCATTCATATGACTGAAACTTCTCTTCTGTTATTGAAAGTTTTGTAATATAGGTAGATTACTCGGACATTGGTTACAGCAGTATCTCCTCTTAACATCTCAGTCCAGTCTTCAGTTTGACTGTCCTGTTCATTATTTCAACTTTTGTTTACCTCACTTACATTATAAGCCCACCTCTCTCATTGCCTGTGGGAGATAGGCATGCTCATATATATTGTAACGGATTTGATCAACACGTTGCCAGGCAGTGACCACGTAAACAGTCCAACACACAACAATAGATGAGGCTGTGTTTTCTTTGTCATCCGCACCATGATCAATGAACTCGCAGTTTGACGTGTGACGTGTGTTTTCTGTGGAGTCCATGGCAAAGAATTATAAGACATTTCTGCCTCTTCCCATGTGGAGGCGGGGTCAAATACCTCAGAGTTGTAGGACGTGACAAAAAAGTGAAGTCTTGAATCTGAGACAGTAGAATGTGGTCACGAGTCATAAGGGACTTGGAACTGAGAATGACTGTGCTCACGAGGACCAGCAGCAATTGCCGATGACAGACCCGTCCTCTAATCAGGAAGAACATCTCACATCAACAAAACTGCAGCTGTCTGACAGCGTAATAGATCTTGTCTTAAGCCAGAGATGGGTGCTTTATTCCTAGACAGACTGGCTGACTGACCGTCGGACAATACATAAGACTCATACTCAGACTGAGAAGGCAGTAGAGACTGGGAGTAGTTGAGAGTACAGATCAGGACAGAGGAGTTCAGAGTGATTGAAGACAAAATGGGAGGAAGACTTCATAATGATTTGAAATGCTAGTTTCTGTTATATTGGGTTTTTGGACTTTATCCATCGTCCTGGTTTTTAAGATAACTAATAAAAAAACGACGTTTCGGAAACTGGATCTGTTTCCGTCATCACTGGATCCAGTGATTGAGGCTAACTCTTTCTAACAGACCCAACAGAATAGGTGTTTTCCTTCACCTGAGGACGGAAACAGATCCATTTTCCGAAACGTCGTGTTTTTATTAGTTATCTTAAAAACGAGGACGATGGATAAAGTCCAAAAACCCAATATATCAGTGTGTTATACACCATCGTCAGAATCCTATAGTAACTGCTAGTTTCTGTGTTTAGATCCATTGCCAGAAGGTGACTAGTGAAGACAGAGAATCCTAGTGCGTGTGCAGTGATGAACTGTAAATGTGTAAAATAGCAATAGTGTTATAATTGAGTGTGATTAAGAGAACTTGTAACCGAAGTGCCAATAAATCCAATCATCCAATCTAGAACCTGTACCCCTCTACACATGACAGTATTTTCACAATTGATATTGGCAAACCTGATAATCCCATACCTTGTATTGAATTTAATGATAATATTTGCATGTATATGGCCTGACAGAATGTGCAGTCTTAAATTTCATGTGTAATTTAACTATTTTTGTTAACATTAAAAATATCTGGTTGTAGATGTTCAGCATGTGATGCATCACTCTCAAGTTGGTATTTTGAGAAAGATGGGTTGCTGTTCTGTAAAGATGATTACTGGACAAAATATGGAGAATCTTGCCAGGATTGTGGACAGGTATGGAGAAGAAAAGATGCTTAAAGCTGTACACTGACATGAAACAGGTGCACTTCATAATATTCACAGAAGGATTTTTGTGACCCATTATAAATTGGTTAGGGGCATGCGGTAGTGTAGTTGGTTGAGGCACTATGCTATAAGCTGGAAGGTCACTGGTTCGATTCTTGATGAGGTTATTGGGTTTTTCAATTGACCTAATCCTTCCAGCCGCACTGTGGCCCTGGAGTCGACTCGACATCTAACAGAAATGAGTACCAGGAATCTTCCTGGGGTTAAAGGGTTGCCCCATTATTGTTGTTTTTGTCAGAACATTGTGGATAAGATAAAATAACTGAAGAATGCCATCTTCTGGGATGTGGTGCCATATACATTGTGCGCTCAAGTTCTAAGGTCTCCAATTTTTTTCTCACACAATAATCATACTAAAAATTTGAAACTTCTGTCACTTTTCAACGTAATCTCCCTGCAGCCGTACACATTTTTCACAACGTCGACGCCATGATTCCATGGCCGCTGCAGACGTTTCTGTAGGAGTCTGTTTTGACCACTGGAAAATCGCTGATGCAATAGCGGCACGACTGGTGAATGTGCGACCACGGATAGTGTCTTTCATCGTTGGGAATAGCCAAAAAATCACTAGGAGCCAGGTCAGGTGAGTAGGGAGCATGAGGAACCACTTCAAGGTTGTTTTCACGAAGAAACTGCTGCGTCACATATGCCCGATGTGCTGATGCATTGTCCTGGTGAAAGAGCACACATGCAGCTTTTTCCAGCCGTTTTTCTCACAGTGCTGGAAGGAGCTTGTTCTTCAAAACATCTTGGTAGGATGCACCTGTCACCGTAGTGCCCTTTGGAATGCAATAAGTAAGGACTACGCCATCGCTGTCCCAGAACATGGCCACCATCATTTTTTCAGCACTGGCGCTTACCCAAAATTTTTTTTGGTGGTGGTGAGTCCGTGTGCTTCCACTGAGCTGACTGGCGCTTTGTTTCAGGATTGAAAAATGGCATCCATATCTCGTCCATTGTCACAATTGATGAAAAGAAAGTCCCATTCATGCTTTCATCATGTGTCAACATCGCCTGGCAAATTGCCATGCGCGCAGCCTTGTGGTCGTCCGCCAGCATTCGTGGCACCCACCTGGAAGACACTTTCTGCATTCGCAGGTCTTCATGCAGGATTGTGTGCACAGATCCCACGGAAATGCCAACTTTGGAGGCGATGTTTTCCACACTCAATCGGCGATCCTCCAAAACAACTTTCTCAACCCGCTCAACCATGTTGTCAGACCGGCTGGTGCGAGGCCGAGATTGTTTTGGTTCGTTGTCACACGACATTTAGCCTTCTTTAAAGTGTAGCACCCACGAACGTACATTTTTCACATTCATGACACCATCACCACATGTCTCACTCAACTGGCAATGAATTTCAATGGGTGTCGCACCACGCAAGTGGAGAAAACGAATGATTACTCGCTGTTCTTGTAACGAAAACGTCGCCATTTTAAGTATCAAAAACACTCCTCACTCTCGTCGCCACCACTAGAGTTCTGTGTGCCATACAGTGCTGCAATCTCTGTCACGCATTCACAAAGAGTACACACATATTTTAAACTAAACCGCATGTGTCTATCTTCTCCCAGTCCTGAGAAAAAAAATCAGAGACCTTAGAACTTGAACGCCCCTCGTACATCTTGTGTAAACCGATGTTTTGGAGGAACGTATCAACTCCATCTTCAGGGTAGAAAAATCTGGGAGCAAGGAACCAGCATCAGCAGGTGGCTGCAGATGCTGGCTCCTCATTCACAGATTTTTCTACCCTGAAGATGGAGGCGATACATTCCTTCAAGATGTTGGTTTACACAAGATCTACATGGTGCCACATCCCAGAAGATGGCATTCTTCATAGTCACCGCCGTGAAAACCTCAATATTACAAGATAAAAAATTAATTACACTCAACTCTCGATTATCCAGGGGTGGATAAACTGGTTTGCGGCTTAACCGGGGCTACCGGGGCTTTTTTGAGGCTTATATGTTTAATATTCATTCACTTCTGTTTCACATGGTGAGTTGTAACACTATTTTCGCATTAGTGTGAACTGAGCTCTGCATTTTTTGGTCCCGTTATGCTAACACAATGTTCTAAGGTAAGGGTGAAAGAATTTAAGGATTTGTGGAAAGTTTCAAGTACAGATACACTGCCCCAGTTAGTTTCTTTGTATCGATCTTCAAGGGCGTTAGCAAAATGTCAGGGTCTAAAAGGAAGCATGTTGTGTTAAGTATTCAACAGAAAAAGGAAAATGCCGCGAAAAAGTAAACGACAATATTAAATTTTTTAAGTGTTAAGTGTGAATATTCGTAAAAAGTGTTGGATGTTGTTGAAGACTGTGACTGAAATAACTAATTAACTAACTAAAGTATTAAAAATTCCATGAGATGACATAAAAATGAGGTTGAATAAATTTAAATACAGGTAGGCCTATAGTATTATGAAGGTACAGTATTACAGTACTATTTTTAATAAAATTTGTCTGAACTGGGTTTTCGATTAATCATGATTTCCACCCCCACCATTATCCCGGATAATCAAGAGTTGAGTGTACCTGACATTTAATCATTTCTTTGATTCATTATAGAAATGAATGTTTATGTACTTCACATGCATAATCTTATTTCTCCTCATTATGCGTAAAACCATAGCTGTGGAATGCCATTAACCTTTAACGACCGAAAGTCCGGTATACCGGACGGTACCTGTGACCTCGAAGATGCCGAAAGTCCAGTATACTGGACGCAAGACACATGCTCACTTTAGAAGTGCTGACGGTTATACGTTGAGTTTGAAACCAAAACAAACACACGCAAGTTCAAGTCAGAGGTCCAGTTGTTGGCTCTGAACAATAAAACCCTTCATCATGGCACTGGGTTCGATTTCGTTTACATGTAGGTAAGACTGTTTGTGACTTGGTCAGCCAAACAGAGTGGAAGCTTCTTCACAGAAAAGCTGACCCAACATTCCTCTGTGCCGGCAGATCACTGCTTCTGTAGCACTCAAGGAAGTGTGACGTGTTTAGTGAGTGTCTGAATTATCAGCTTGTGAGTCAGTGGCGGACTGTTTCTCTGGGGAAGCCAAGATTTTTCATTGAGTCATCTGGAACTGAACATTGACAACACTGTCCGGCCAGCCAGATAGAAACAATAACTTCCTGTTTGTTCGCTAAGCGAGAGACTGAACCAGATTGTCTACCAGCGTATGAGAAGTGAGGTCTGTGTGACCTTCACAACGCGCTGAAGCAACCTCTGCCTTCCCGCGCTCCCGCACGCAGTATCTATAGTAGCGTAAACTTACACGACGCAACGAGTTGAAACTCGTGTACAGTCTGACCAAACATTTTGGTGTATAGTGTCAATGTATTTTGGATATAACGACGTCTCAAATTTGAAGAAAAAATTATGGGTAAGTCTTTTGGAATTTCATTACACATATAATAGAGAGAGTATTTTGAATTTCATGACACAACAATCACAGTTAATTTTTATTTGTACAAATTGCCATAGGTATATTGTAGGAAATTTCATTCTCTTTCAGGCGGTTTTTAGTTCGTATATCTAAGCTGCATAGAACGGAAAATATGTAGTTTTTTCTGAAAGTCTACAATATTAAAAGGGCAACGTCAAATTAACTCCGGCAGCAGCGCAGTCATGGGGGGTTTAAATGCCGACTCTTAAAGGTTAAAGATGGAGATGGAAGTGGGTAACTGCAGTTCTTTCATTCTTCCAGATCATCACAGGGCCAGTGATGGTGGCTGGAGATCACAAGTTCCATCCTGAATGTTTCTGCTGCACGTCATGTGGTGGCTTCATTGGGGATGGAGAGTCCTATGCTCTCGTGGAACGTTCCAAACTGTACTGGTTAGTATTGTCATCTGAAATATTTGTATTTAAATGTGACCTTTTATGCAGGTGTTTGCTATATGTTTGTGTTTCAATGTAACCTATACAGGTAACAAAACATCATGAAATGAACAAAAAATCAGTTATTGTTTAGGCTTGAATATTCATGGAATGATTGTTATGCATTCAAATAACCTGATCTCAAAGTATATACTATATATATATTATACGCTAACAAATTAGAGTACATTGTTAAGATATTTGCCTGAACAGCAACCATGTACAGTGGAACCTCGCTTAACGAGCACAATTCGTTCCAGAATCTTACTTGTAATGCGAAACACTCATTAAGTGAAACAATTTTTCTCATATAAATTAATGTAAAATATGATAATGCATTCCATGTCAATAAAATACTCAAACAATTTTTATGTATAACGTTTATTCCAAGTAAATTATATATACATTGTTAATGAGTGTGAATCATCTTCATATTTTCTTCTATGCGGAATGAACCAACCTGGAATGTGAATTCGATTTGCAGAAAACAAAAAAATCCATATGACGAGCAACCTTTCAACATCGTCGAAATATGTAACCGTTGCGTAGATATTCTTGTCACTCCCTTTGAAGCATCCGTCTCCTTAATCTTGTCCTTGTTCTTGAGGATAGTGCAAATCCTTGATGTAGACCGATTGATGTGCATGCTAGATCAGCCACGCTCACACCTCGTTCTCTCGTTCTCACTTTTCAATGATTTTACGTTTCATTTCTACAGTTATTTTTATTCTCTTATGGCTGTCTTTTTGCGGCTTTTTCTTAGGGAACATTTTTGCAAGGGTTATTAAACTTTGCACAAAAAATCACAAATAATATGTCTGAACACAAGTTTGGAAAAATGTGTTATCACAAGCGTCACTAAGATGCTAGGGGAACGAGTGCTAAACACAGACTGATATAGGAAGTGCACAATCTGGGACTTCCCCTCTCGTCACTCATTATGCAAAACGTCGCTCGTTAAGCGAGTCATTTTTTTACAATTTGTTCTGCTCGTTATACGAATTACTCGTTATGAGAGGTTCCACTGTAGTTCTTTTTAAATGTATACTGATTTTTCTGAGTGTTAACATATTTTAGTGTGGTAGACTGCTAGTGAAGTAAGCTACATAGCTTCACTTTCTCTACTTAATACTGATATTATATTTTTGAGCATCCTATTGCATTGAGGTATCAGTTATAGTCTTGTTGTCCATGTATAATGCAACAATTTAAATTTCAGAGGACACTGAATCACATTTAATTCACTAAAATGTTCATTAAATGTTTAAAATGTCGTTAAAGTATATGTACATTCAGTGTTTATGCTGCATGTTTCAGCTGCACAGGGCCACACTGAGGTAATCATGATATGAGGTGATGTTAATTGGGGGGGGGGAACAAAACAAAAACAACAACAATCTTTATGAAGGACATAACTTCTGACGTGGACTGGGGCTCCAGAAACAAAACCTAAATTTAGTGGCTGGGGCACCAGAAAGAAAACCTAAATTTATTGGCCACATAAAAGAATTCATTATTTCACGGTCTTATAGCATGTTTCATACAAATGTGTTTCTGCACTCGGCACTTGGTGTCTGTTAATACACCTGTGGTGACTGGGCAGTTATATCCATGACATGGGCAATAAACAGTTGACTATATATCTGTTTCACAAACATGAGTTTTAGGTTAGGTATGAGGAATGTGTATACCGCCTCTGTAGCCTAGTAGTCAAGAGTTCCTGGTTACAGATCCAGAGGTCCCGAGTTCGATTTCCGGCGCTACCAGATTTTCTGAGAAGTACATAGTGGGTCTGGAATGGGGTCCACTCAGCCTTGTGAGGATAAATGAGGAGCTATTTCAAAGAAATGGCTGCTCCGGTTTAGAAAACCGAAATTAATGGCCGTGGGGATTTGTTATGCTGGCCACGTGACACCCTTTATCTGCAAACGTTGGCACTAACTTTGCTGACAAGCGGTGGTCGCTCAGTCAATAAAGTTAGCTTGCAGGCTCAAGCCACGGAGTATAGTTTTATGAGGAATGTATTGTCGTCATGTGTGCTATGTTAATATGCATTCTTTTCTCTACAGTATCCTGATTTCAGTAGTACCATGTAAGCTATGTTTTTTGTTACAGTGGTCCATGTTACAAACGACAGATGCAGCCTCTGAGCAAGACGTCAGGAACTCCATTTGTTCGCAAGCCGCATTCAATTCGACTGGTGGAGATTCCACCTACTGGTGATGGTCAGCGTGGCATCAAGTTGAGTGTGGAGAGTGCCCGAGGTCTTCCTGTTACAGCTGAGCCCTATGGTTGTCGTGGCCTTCGTATTTCTGAGTAAGTTATCTTAAGAGGTAATAAACATATCGTCCCGGCCAAATGCTGTACATTTTTCCTTATATAATGTGGCCAAATCTGTAAATAATAGTGCTGTGTAATGTTGCTGAATAGTGTAAGATTTGAGGCTTTCACGGCGGTGACTATGAAGAAAGCAGTCTTCTGGGATTTGGCACCGTGTACGAAGTGTGTTCAGGAAATAACGGGAATTTTAAAATTTCGTGGGTTTGGAGAGTCCAATTGTCAAANGGGAATGTTTCCAGAAATATCACACTCTCAAGCACTTCTAGGAGCATTGGTAAGTGTTCTCCAAAAATTTTAGTTCATAAAATTAATTAGGAGATTTTATATTAATTTTTAAAGTGAACAGTGCAGAAGTTATGGTAGTAGGTATAAAAATGCCTGTCCCCAGGGTGATTTAAATATTTAAATCACCAGTCCACAAAGTGTTAACAGAAGTTGGAAAGTCAGAAACACTATAGCTTAAGCCTACTTACTCTGTATTTTTAACTTTTACTTATGGTTTATTAAATTATGCTGTCAGCAGCTCAGTCTGTATAGTATGTAATGGTAAAATGATTAATGGATGATGAATTGGAAAGGATACAGAAAGAAGCAGTGAAGCCTTAATTTCAGGTAATATCCAGGCAAATGCCTGAAGAAACCAAGGGAAACCATGCCTCTATTAGAAGAGTGCATTCTAGCCGAGATTCCAATTGGCCATCTATCAAATACAACTTTGAAGCACTACTGCCTGAGGCAACTTGCTCAGTATACAAAACGACAACGTGAAGTAAACAGACATTATGGAGATCAAGGTGTAGGCAGAGATATGACAACTCAATGTCACAATAATGTGTTTATATGTATTCTTTGGTGTTAAAATTTAATGCAGTCATGTGCATTCACCATTTGGTACTTCTTTTTATATGTGTTCAAATGTCCCAAAGATCCAAGATTTATTGCCAAATTAAAAATACAGTGTTCAGTGTTCCATTTACACACATTTTTTATTAATTAGTTTAAAAGTCTAGTTAATATAAAAAAAAAATGCTCCAGACTAAGCCCTCATTGTGATGCCTTTAAACCTGTTCTGTGTTCAAAGATGGGGAGTTTTGACAACGCTCTCTACAATTTCAGGTCTAAAAACAAATATTTTACAACTTTCAGTCTCTGATTGGAAAACACTATTCAGCAATGAAGAAAGCAGTCTTCTGGGATTTGGCACCGTGTATATGTGGTGTTAACCGACGTTTCGGAGGAACGTATCGCCCCCATCTTCAGGGTTGAAGAAGTATAGGTAAATCTGCAAGCGACAACACCGTGAGACACGGTCAAGACCGTGTCAAGCGTGTTGTCGCTTGCAGATTTACCTATACTTCTTCAACCCTGAAGATGGGGGCGATACGTTCCTCCGAAACGTCGGTTAACACCACATATACACGGTGCCAAATCCCAGAAGACTGCTTTCTTCATTGCTGAATAGTGTTTTCCAATCAGAGACTGAAAGTTGTAAAATATTTGTTTTTAGACCTGAAATTGTAGAGAGCGTTGTCAAAACTCCCCATCTTTGAACACAGAACAGGTTTAAAGGCATCACAATGAGGGCTTAGTCTGGAGCATTTTTTTTTTATATTAACTAGACTTTTAAACTAATTAATAAAAAATGTGTGTAAATGGAACACTGAACACTGTATTTTTAATTTGGCAATAAATCTTGGATCTTTGGGACATTTGAACACATATAAAAAGAAGTACCAAATGGTGAATGCACATGACTGCATTAAATTTTAACACCAAAGAATACATATAAACACATTATTGTGACATTGAGTTGTCATATCTCTGCCTACACCTTGATCTCCATAATGTCTGTTTACTTCACGTTGTCGTTTTGTATACTGAGCAAGTTGCCTCAGGCAGTAGTGCTTCAAAGTTGTATTTGATAGATGGCCAATTGGAATCTCGGCTAGAATGCACTCTTCTAATAGAGGCATGGTTTCCCTTGGTTTCTTCAGGCATTTGCCTGGATATTACCTGAAATTAAGGCTTCACTGCTTCTTTCTGTATCCTTTCCAATTCATCATCCATTAATCATTTTACCATTACATACTATACAGACTGAGCTGCTGACAGCATAATTTAATAAACCATAAGTAAAAGTTAAAAATACAGAGTAAGTAGGCTTAAGCTATAGTGTTTCTGACTTTCCAACTTCTGTTAACACTTTGTGGACTGGTGATTTAAATATTTAAATCACCCTGGGGACAGGCATTTTTATACCTACTACCATAACTTCTGCACTGTTCACTTTAAAAATTAATATAAAATCTCCTAATTAATTTTATGAACTAAAATTTTTGGAGAACACTTACCAATGCTCCTAGAAGTGCTTGAGAGTGTGATATTTCTGGAAACATTCCCCTTTGTGAAGTGGCATTACACACTTGCAAATGTAGACAGTCATAGTCCTTTTTTTGTGAACTGCGCGAACACGGCATTGCCTAGAAGGACGCTTCCCCTTGGAATCTTCACTCTTCACAATTTTCATGAGGGTATGTTTCTGTATATCACCCCGAGAGTCGCCCAGGGATGTCCACATGAGGCCTGCGTGGGGTGGGAGTTGATGGGCTAGATCACACTACATCTGTCTGACTCTGGTTCTGCCGCCACCATCTGGTCTGTAGCCCAAACCTTTGCCACATTCATCATAAATGCTTTGTATTTCAATTTTGAATCGGTTTAGATATTTGTAAACCAAAAATGAATCAAAAATGCACAATTTATAAGCCACAAGGAAACTTTCAGTTTTATTATCTTTGGCCACAATTCTTTGTTGACCTCTGTCACTTCCACTGTCTGAGTCACTAATCACTACTCCCCCACAAGGCAATCAGATCGCTCATAGGAAAAGGAGTCAGAGAGATCGCTTTGCCTTCAACCACTTGTGTCCTGGAAACATATTCCCCTCTACTAACTTCCTGCCTGGTACATAAACAGTTGGAAGTGGCAAAGTTTATTTTCTTTTGGAGTAGGGACCCTAGCCAGCCAGGTCAAGTTACTGAATACCTAGCATACATTCCAAAGATTTATTATGCAGTATTCATTTCAGTTGTGTGGCGGCAGAGCAAGGTATAGTGTGTTACAACCTAACGTGTCCTAAAATCATGATATCATGCGTCCGGTCTGCAAAGTGTTAAGAAGGTGGCCAATTCAAATCTTGGCTGGAACAGTGACTATCCATACAGGTTATATGTGCCAGGGAGATGCTGGAATAGCACCTTAAATTAGACCATGACTGTATATTCTAAGATCATTTTAACTTCAATATAGGTCATCAGCATTAGTTTGGTAAAATGTGAATTGGTTAAATTCATGATTGTAGTATGACATTGCATGTTCCGATTCAGTCTTTTGAAATATGAAGAAAGGTTCACTGTCACCAAGTTTATGAATGAATTGAAATTTCACAAAATGCTGTATTGATCATCACAGACACCTTGTATATCACATGGAACAATGTGTATAACAAGGATGACAAAGGTAGATTTGTAATGGAGTTACAATGCCCTTTTACCAGAAGAATATAACCCAAAACTGTTTCATACAAGCATTAATGAAACATTCTGATTTCATGACGGTTACTGTGTAGGTAGACACCATGGTGTTATGTAGTGACCATTACTTGCAGGATCCTGAGCATTGTTCACACCAAAGTGGGCAAATTTGCAGTTTCTCTTCTCGAGGCAGCGTTTAGATTGTGCTGCCATCTCTCCCGTTATAGGTAAAGAATTCGCTCATCTGCCTGGCTGTCTGCTTGTTCTGTTTACGTGATGGTTTTCAGCTAGATGCTTGGCTGCCTGTTACAAGATTTGCAGGGAGTGACCTGTGTTGTCACACAAGTTTGTGGGCATGGCATCATGGTGCACGTGATTTATCATTTTTCTTGTTTGGAAACAGTGACTTGTTCTAATGCAAATCGGAATTGGCACTTCAGCATTGCTTTCCACTTCATAAACTTGTAGAAACTTTGTAAGTTTTGAGGTTTTCACGGCGATGACAATGAAGAAAGTTGTCTTCTGGGTTTAGGCACCGTGTATTCTTCGTTTTGGCCGACGTTTCGGAGGAACGTAGCGCCTCCATCTTCAGAGCAGTTGAATGGCTTGGAATGCGGAGAGCAGTAGCTGTGGTGATAGGATGTGAAAGTGGCTGATTATATACAAAGTAGTTAGGGAGAACGGACCAATGGGAGCAGTGGGGAGCGATTAGGACCATATATGGTGTTGTGTTGATTAAGGGAGGTGGAAAACGGCCAGAGAATCCAGGAACCTTGAGGTCAATAGCACTAGGAAGTGCTGTAGACAAGAAGAACTGGTAGGTTGGAGACAGGCTATTGACGTCAATGACATGACGAAGAACTGGTGTGGCTAGTTGGATTCTCTTGAGGGAAGAGATGCTACCATATCTGTCGAGATTGTTGAGAGCGATAAAGGCCATGATGTAGTGTGCTAAGTTAGGGGGGGGGG